TAGTGTGTGTGTGTGTGTGTGTGTGTGTGTGTGTGTGTGTGTGTGTGTCGCGCGCGCGCGTGTGTGTGTGTGTGTGTGTGTGTGTGTGTGTGTGTGTGTGTGTGTGTGTGTTACACGCAATAGAAAATTGTATGATTTCAAGATGGCTGAAACAATTGATTCCTCTTCTACAATGTGAGTGCTATGACCTACCCCCGGTGCACAGTATTCTAATCTCGCAGCAAGAGCCTATAGTGGTTACTACGTACGGTCGATGTTAAAAATACATCGTTAAATAAACACCAATATACAAACACGAAATGATGCACATCGCAATATATACGAGATTCGCAACTCGACCATCGTCATCAATAAAATCATAATAATTATTATTATAATAATATATAATACTAATAAAAGACGGTCGTAGGTGAATAAAAACACACTGGACAACAGATGTATATGTACACAATCCGCAGATTAAAATTACACGCACAGTCACGCTGCCTTTGAGCCGATGCAGCGTGTTAATTACACGTTAATTGGTTCCTAATAATTGGTCGAGGATCGCCGCGTGAGAATACAGCGCCACTGGCGGATAGAATAATAATGTGCTTAATCCCATCTCTACTCTCACACAGCCCTGCGATTTCGCACAACTGTTTCTCCATATTTAGTGCAGATGTGACCATGAGACACAGATAATTATAAACAACATGCTTCGAACAAAGGTTCGACAATACTTTTCACGGATGAGGTGCCGGTGAGATTAAAAGAGTCGAGAATGAATGATTTCTGGGTGAAATGACTAGAAACACAGCTGCCGTCGCGTGCAGGCAGCCGCCAGAGTGCAGTGCGATGCCACGAGCGTTCGCTTTCAGCTGCCTGCTGCCAGAGCGAGAGACCGGAAAACTCATCGTGGGCAAAATGTTTCACGCAGTACGTGTGCTTTATGTAGCATCATATAGAATGGCTGCAGAATCGTGGAGCGTATATCGTTTTCACACTCAACCCCCTTCCCCTATTCATACATTCACTGGATCAAAATCTAATATGGAATTTCTCACCTTGGACTTATTTGGATTTCAAATAATGCTCGTTGAGTTTCGCACTTCGAGAGCAGCACATACATTTGCAATACAAAATGTCGCATGCGGATTTTTTTAACGAAATGATAATGAAATATTTGATAACGGAATATAAATAGTGCAGATTTTGTGAAGCCGACTGGTGTGCGTTAATTATGCATCGAATATGAGTGCGCATGGGTGCATTATTACATTAACACCACATTACATTATTTCAACTGTGTGCTGTTTCAATGTCGGTAACACGTTAGGCAGACGCTACATTATCATAACATAATCACCGTCGTATTGAAAGAGAGAGAGAGAGAGAGATCAGAGAGACGCGTGTTGCGAGTACAGCACGAATGACTAAGGGCGAATCCAACTATACAGAGTAGATATTATAAACCAGGGCTTCTTAACCTGTGGTTCATGGACCACTTTGGGGTCCGTGGATGGCTTCAGGGGGTCCTTAGTTACACTTTAATCATGCCACTTGAAAGTTCGTATCCAGCGGCTTATGCCATTTTTCTGGGGAAGGATCCATAGATTTAACCAGATTCTCAAAGGGGTCCATGACTCAGAAAAAGTTAAGAACCACTGGTAGAAACGCTAGCTGTCGTTGGGCGGAGCCAACCATGCGACGAGCTAGCGGAAATGCACGCGTGTGGGCGGCCTCGCTGCGCGCGGCAGCTCCATCCTAGTCCCCATCACAAGCTCCGGCGACATGTCGGTCGCGCCATTGCAAGCGCCACCATGGTGGTTCGCAGTGCTACACCACCTGGTGGGCTTGCCCAGCGCTAGCACCAACCGTCGAGGGTTTGCCAAGTGCAGCACCAACCGTGGGTTCCGAGCGGCTAGCAAACACCCGTGCGTGGTGGTCACACCAGCGCTAGCACCACCTGGGGGTTGCCAGCGCTAGCACCACCTGGCGGGGTCACCAGCGCTAGCACCACCTGGGGGTTCACTCCGAGCTGTTAGCACCACCTGGGGGTTGCCAGCGCTAGCGCCACCTGGGGGGTTGCCAGTGCTAGCGTCACACTGTGTTGATCAGATGCGGCCGGCGCCGATTTCGCATGACTCTCGTGTTCCACACTCCATTTCGCATCGTTGCGGCGATTGCGGAGAGCGCCACCTGGCGGGGTGCGTCCGTCGTCAACCACGATGCATTGTCCTCAGCGCCACCTTCGTCGCTCTCTCGCCGCGACTGCAGCATTCTGTTTCTTTGTCAAGGTCACAAGCAGAGGTCGCACTGAGGTCATACAGTTGTCGCCGATAAGCAAATGCCGCTTGCCGGGACAAGCGCGCCCCCTCCGGCGGCTAGACGAACCACTCGCAGCGGCGCGCGAATCGCCGCTGGCGCATGCACC